TGCAATATCAACAATCAATACTTAGTTTTTTAATATGATCGTAAGGTCAGGAGTATTGTGCTCCAAAACTCTTTCTGTCTGAATTTGGAAATTCCAGAGTAGCTTAACGTGTTCATTTTCTGTGACCTTTTCAGGCTTGTGATCCCATCAGTTCTTTGTTGCAGGCAGATGGTATTTGTGGCACAAGTTCCAATTAATCATCTGAGCAACGGTGTTATGCCTCTGCTTGTAGTCTGTCTGTGCGATCTTCTTGCAGCAGCTGAGGATGTGATCTATTGTTTCATCTGCTTCCTTGCAGAGTCTACATTTGGGATCTGTCGTTGACTTTTCAGTTCTGGCTTTGGTGGCATTGATTCAAATGGCTTGTTCTTGGGCTGCCAGAATTAGGCCCTCCTTTGTCTCCTTTTTCTAAGTTCCATTTGTGAGCCACAGCCATGTTTTTTCTTTGTTAATTTGGCTCTCAATTTTTCCCAGGAACTGTCCATGGAGAGACTTCTTTTGCCAGTTTTCTCTTCTGCTCTGGATTGTGTTTTTACGGTATTCCCTCTTTGTCTTTTGCACTTGAAGCAAAATATTATATTTATATATAATAATTAAATTATTATTGTTATTATTGTTATTATTGTTATTATTGTTGTTGTTGTTATTATTATTATTATTATTATTATTATTATTATTATTATTATTATTAAGCTAGCACATTAGTTCATGTAATAATATGCTGTTGCCATTCCATAGCTGTTCTTCATACTGCTAAGCAATCTCACACATACAAGCTTGCTAAGGATCAAGTGACAACAGGTTTTGTTTTTGCTCAGAATGACAGGAGACATTTTGTCTACAAGGTTTGTTTATTCTGCATTACTAAGGCCGTTGGCACTTTCTCACTCCCAGATAAAACCCAAATGATAAAACATGTTTGAAAACAGTTAAGTAGAATAATTCACAAAATACCTTCAGAAGTTATTCAAGAAGTCTGGTTTGAACTTTTTTTTAATTAACTAGAATCTCCTTTACCATCAACACGTTTTTAAGATAGTCATCATCTTCAGAATAAGGAAGATTTAAGTCTTAGTTCTGCATCATAGTATTTGCTTTGTGAGGAAATGTCTCATATTCATTCACGTGTTTGACAAGTACTTTGTCACATGAACCCAATATTCTACTACAATCATTTTATCATTGATACTGGATACATGCCGTGTTGAATATCCTTGATATCTCATCTCTTTTCATTAGTATAATTGCACCGGTTCTGCAATTCATGATCCTGCACTTGTATACACACCCTTGTACCTTACATTCTTGCACTGATTTTTGTAATTTTATTTTTAGAGTAGTCGTGCAATTTTAGTGCAATTGTGCATATGCATTCCAGTCCAGCTGAAGGAGATATTTTCTGTTTTCTGCATATGTGATTGCTGTACAGGTTAAGGATATATATGTTGAAAACCTTTAACCTAGAATCAATTGGAAGAGACCTCATGGGCCATCCAGTCCAATCCCCTGCCAAGAAGTAGGAAAATCACATTCAAAGCACCCCCAACAGATGGCCATCCAGACTCTGTTTAAAAGCCTCCAAAGAAGGAGCCTCCGCCACACTCCGAGGCAGAGGGTTCCACAGCTGAACAGCTCTCACAGCTAGAAAGTTCTTCCTCATGTTCAGGTGGAATCACCTTTGAAGCCATTGTTCCACGTCCTAGTCTCCAGAGCAGCAGAAAACAAGCCTGCTCCCTCCTATCTATGACTTCCCATCACATATTTATACATGGCTATGTCTCCTCTCAGCCTTCTCTTCTGCAGGCTAAACATGCCCAACTCTTTAAGTCGCTCCTCATAGGGCTTGTTCTCCACGTCATTGTTTTTGTCATCACAATCCATGTCCTAGCCTTTGCCTATTTATGGATTGTATACAGATTTTACTTTTTTTTTTTTTTGTGGTTTATAGCAACAAAAAAAGGTGTACTTAGTTGTGCACCGTTTCATTCCAACTAAGGAGTTTATTGTGAGCATAAATTGGCTTGTTTACATATAAAATTATATACACAATAAGATATATATATCCAAATGAGCGTGCGGTCTATCTGCAGTAAACCAGACTCTGGTGTGTAAACAGACATCCCCAACTGCTTTCTCTTTCAATTAGTCACACGGTTTCACTCAATGGAACCCCCAGTTGCGCATTGGTTAGACCATTGCGCCGACAGGACTGAAACCGACAGGTCACAGGTTCGAATCCAGGAGAGTGCAAGTGAGCTCCCACTGTCAGCTCCAGCTCCCCACGCGGGGACATGAGAGAAGCCTCCCACAAGGATGGTAAAACATCAAAAAAACATCTGGGCGTCCCCTGGGCAATGTCCTTGCAGACGGCCAATTCTTTCACACCAGAAGCAACTTGCGGTTCCTGACACACACACACACACACACACACACAAAACTCATTTTAATGCTTAAGTAGGACTTGGCCAGGAACAGTAATATAACACTTTGTATCAAAAATTGGAAAATGTTCTATTCCTGTTTTGAAAGTGTTATTTCCTGTTTGATTGTCCGGTCCTTACTTTGAAAGTAGCTGTTATACTTAGTTTTTGTGGCTTCCCCAAACTATGTTGTATTGGTTGTGACTCTTGTGAGATATTCATTGAAGAATTAGAGCAAAATGTGCTGCAGGATGTCCTGCCAGAACAAAGTTTTTACAGTTTAATAAACTTTTTTTCCAATTAGGAAATGACATTTATAACCCAGGAACAAGAATCTTGTAACATAATGTAATCGATTCAAACAATGCTTAAACACTGGCATTCTTCATGCAATGAATACACTTGAAAATGATTGTAAAGCCGCTGATAAATGTTCCTATGTACACATACTGCTACTTCAGTTCAAAAATTGAAATCTTTAAAAAGTGTTACAAAGGATTTTGGGGGAGGAGTATAACTTATGGCACAAATTAGGCAATAAGTACTTTTCACAATGGAGCTTCAGTTGAGTTGAAAATTATCTACAATATACTGAAAGCATTCACAATTTTTAGAGCTTGCCTGGAGGCAGTAAAACACATGTTGCAAGTGTTGGGAAAGTAGCATTTTAGAACTATCATTGATGGGATAACTACTCCTCATTGGTCACGTTAGCTGTGAGATACTAAAAGTCTTAGTCCACACGTGATGTTTCCAAGCTGATGTGTTGCACTGAACGATATGGATTTCTGAATGCATCAGTGCTCCTATAAAGTTTTTTTAAACAAAATTTACATTAGTTTCAACACATCTATATCTATCTATACATATAATAAAAGTGAAAATCTGTATGTGTATGTAGCAGGGGTCTCCACACACAGACAACCTCCCGCCTCCACAAACAGCTATAACCCATAGTGCTAAGGAGCCACCAAAACCACTCCCTCCAAGGACATTGCAGGTTATAGTGAGCGACACATCCCAGTGTTCCTTTCTCTCTCCATTGGTGTGGAATTTGCATGACCCCACCAACTGCCTCTCCCTTAACCCTTTCCTATGGTACACAGCAAACAGAGGAACTGATCAGCAACCAAACATAGTGGAGGGGATTGGGGAACTGACTCAACAGGATGGAAGTTGTAGTTCACCCTGCATGAAGACACAGCATTGTGACATCCACCGACAATAGACTTAGACTACATTTGGCACACAGAACCCTCATGAACAGGTTTGGGGGGAACTGATCTTGATTTATAGGAGTTGTAGTTTACCTATATCCAGAGAGTACTGTGAACCCAACCAACTATGGATCTGGACCACACTTGCCATGGATGATGTGACATGCAGTACCTTCACTGAGTTTCAAGGACCACTGCAACCCCCACGAATAAAGGACAGACAAACTTGGCACATAGACCGCCACCCCCCCCCCCCCATGACCCAGCATACTTCCTGGTGCTGTTTGGGGGGGGGGGATGGACCACGGACAATGGGATTTGCAGTACTTTCACCCGATTCAGTTCCCACAGATCACTGCAACCCACATGAATGACAGATCTGGACCAAACTTGGCACGCAGACTCCTCATGACAAACAGAACATACGCAGGGGTTTGTGGTAATTGGCCTTGATTTTGGGAGTGGTAGTTCCAAGGGCAAGATGGATGGATGGATGGCATCGTTGAAGTGACTGGATTGACCTTGAAGGAGCTGGGGGTGGTGACAGCCAACAGGGAGCTCTGGCGTGGGCTGGTACATGAGGTCACAAAGAGTCAGAAACAACTGAACGAATGAACAACAACAAAGCTCACCCTTATCAGAAACCACTGAACCCAACTGACGTCAGATCTGGACAAACTTGGCACACAGTCCTAACATGGCCAACTGGGCATACAGGCGGGGTTTGGGAGTGATTGCCCTTGGATCTGGGAGTTGTAGTTATGCAGAGAGCCCTGAACCCAGCCGACGCCAGCTCTGGATCAAACTTGGCACAGAGAACCAACATGGCCCACTGCAAACAGGCCTGGTTTGGAGGGTGATTGCCATTAGCACATGGGAATTGTCGTTCACCTTTTTGCAGAAAGCCCTGAACCCAGCCAATGTCAGATCTGGACCAAACTTGGCACACAGACCCAACATGGCCAACTGTGCATACAGGCAGGGTTTGGGGGTGAATGACCTTGGATCTCGGCGTTGTAGTTCACCCTTATCCTGATGCCCTTTTCAAATAACCCAGGCGTCACCATGTCCCCAAGTTAGTATAAAATAATTCACAACAGAACAAACATTGTTCAGGAAAAGCAAGAAAAAAGAAATACAATACCTATGTATTTGGATGTGCCTTCAAGTCGCCTCTCAACTTATGGTGACCCCATGAATTTCAATGGGTTTTCTTAGGCAACTAACCAGTACATTTACCCCCTCTTGAGTTTAGCTAGCTGGATGATCTAAGCCTGCCTTTTCAGATCAAATTTGTCAGTTGCCAGTTTTATTGAATTATAAGTTTTAAGCTTTTAACATTTTGTTCTCATTCTGGCCACAGGCAAATAAGAAAGGGATTGCTTGGCAACCATGTCTTCACTTCTTAAGTGAGCCGTACTTCCGGACTGACAGACAGATGAGACCAGGCTATTCAGCCAAGAGGTATCTCCTTAAACTCTCTCAGACCTGGGACCCGAGCATATTGCAAAAGCTTCAGAGTGCAGGTCAGTGTTGCAAGAAAGCAGGAAAATAATAGTACAGATATTTCTAAAGGGGACACTTTGGGATAGTTGCTTTTGTTGTGTGTCTTGTAATCAAATTTCCTGACCTTTGCCATTTTTCCCTTTGACACAGAGATACCGTATATACGAGTATAAGCCGAGGGTGGAAATGCAGCAGCTACTGGTAAATTTCAAAATAAAAATAGATACCAATAAAACTATATTAATTTAGGCATCAGTAGGTTAAATGTTTTTGAATATTTACATAAAACTGTAATTCAAGATAAGACTGTCCAACTCTGATTAAACCATTATTCTAACCTTCTTCAATGTAAATATGCTTACATGTCCTCCAATAATAATAAATAGAGTAAAATAATAATAATAATATAGTAAAATAATAAATGTAACAATAACAATAATAAATAGAGTAAAATAATAAATGTAATAATAACAATAATAAAATAATAAATGTAACAACAACAACAACAACAACAAAGTAAAATAATAAATAACATTGACTCGAGTATAAGCTGGGGGAGACTTTTTCAGCCTAAAAAAAGGACGGAAAAACTAGGCTTATACTCGAGTATATACAGTAATAAGAGTTTCCTAAGGTCACCCAAAGGTTTACAAGGCCAAGTGGAAATTCAGACCCTGCTTATGCAGCGTGCTGGTTCAGCACTCAAACCATGCCGGCTCAGTTTGGAACATGCTGAAACAAATTGCTGTAAATAATAATAATAATAATCATCATCATCATCATCATCATTGCTACTACTATTATTTATGCCTCGCTTCTTATCTCCACAAAGGAGACTCAAAGCAGCTAAAATATTGTTTGAAGAATATTTAGAAAATTCTTGTTTCTGGATGGAAAAGACATTTGTTATATGGATTAAAGTTTGAGTTTGTTATTGCTTCCAAATTTCCTCCAATGACATTTTGGAGCTCATAAGTTTATTTCAAGAAATAAAATAATATATTGGCACCCTGATATCATCCATAACTGAGCAGTGATAGAATGATATTCTGGGGTGCATTGATAGCACACACCGCTGCAGTCCTAAATTTGCTATATTCATAATCTGTTTTACTCTTTTCCAATGTGCTATGTTTATTCCTTCAAAATGGCAGAACTAAATGCAAACTGTCCCAAATTCAATCTTGGCCATATTCTGCTAGGATTTCAAAATGCCTACACTGAAACCCTTTAGACCTGCTGTCATTGTATTTTAGACTATTGGGTTTAACATTTTGGTCCTCCACATGTATTCAACTGTATTAAATCAAGAAATAGTTTTCTAAGATCTACAGAGACACTCGCTGGAACACCTCAGCAAGCGAGAGTCCAAAAGTGGCAGACTCAAACCCAGAACCTCAATCAATGGCTGATACCAAATTAGGGACTCCCTCCTGGGCACAGAAGACTGGGCGACTTGTAAGGTGCTGAACAGACTGAGCTCTGGCACCATGAGAAATGGGGCTACAAAGTGGAATCCATGACATGCGAGTGTGGAGAAGAGCAAACCACTGACCACCACTGCAATGCAACCTGAGCCCTGCCACATGCACAATGGAGGACCTTCTTGCAGCAACACCAGAGGCACTCCAAGTGGCCAGAATCTGGTCAAAGGACATTGAATCAACTGCCAAGTCTGCAAACTTTGTGTTTTGTTTGTTTGTTTGTTTTTTAATGCAATACAACTGTTTTGGTTCGCTCCTGACACGATAAATAAATAATTTAACTCCACTTCCTCCTGAACATGGTCAATGGTCAGAGGTTCTAAGTCTAAAACAAGTGGAGGACCAATAGAAAGGAATCCCTACTATAGACAGTGCCAAATTATGTGGGCTGGTGTTTGCACTTGCTACTTCTTTTTTTTACAAGTGACTTATACATGTTTTGTACATTCCAGGATATATTAGAGATCCATTGTTGCTTGAGGAAAATTTACGAGATGACAGGAAGAAACAACAGGATCTGTCTGCTGTTCCACCAAAATATAATCTTCTTCATATCTTCTATTCACCATGCCCATATTTACAGACGGAGTTAGAAGAACCACACATTTATTCAGGTACTGTAGATAATAAACTTAAATAAGATATGTATGATCAGATTTTAGTGTGTGCTCAGAAGCTGGTTGGAGCTGAGAGGACTTTTCTTCACCTTTCACTGGGGTGCCAGTCATGCCTATTTCTGATACAGTCATGTCTTGAATGGATTGGTTCCATCACATGGGGCTTTTTCCCCATCCTAAGACACTGCCGAGATGCAGCCAGGATGGAGCCTGCTAGAGCCCATCACATGACATAGGGTTACTTCCAGCCAGGCATGTAGCTGGGGGGGGGGGGGGGGGGGGTTGAGGGCTTCAGCCCCCCCCCCCCGAAATTTTCATGGTGGTTCGCGGTTCGTTATGTTTATTCATATCATGATCTGATCACCATACTCAATATATCCCATATGCATGAGGGAATTGGGGTAATGATACAAAAGGTTTGCTGGGTAGACCCTCTTTCACTCAGACTCACCCCCCCACCAAAACTCAGCCCCCCCAAACCCCCTGAAAAAAATTCGGCCCCCCCCCCCAAACGAAATCCTGGCTACGGGCCTGCTTCCAGCAGAGCTCTGTCTCAGCTCCATCCCGGCTGCTTCTCAGAGGCATATTGAGAGGCTGTCCTGAGAACATGGATGACTTACCTATCTTCTGATTCAAGAAGCCATGGGCAGCTGGGCTATGCCATGTGATGGTAAGGGGGTGATGTGGGGCTCTGCCTAAAGGTTTCCCCTGCTTCCTCACGGATTCCCACGCTGTCCCCCTGCTTATGGGTCTCCGTCCGATGAGGTCCTTAGACTACCATAATGGGTTCAGTATGGGTCTGCCATTGAAAGCCACTGGGAAGTTTAATGTATTATTATTATTATTATTATTATTATTATTATTATTATTATTAACAGTATTTATTTACAGCATTTATATGCCTGCTCGGACCCCTGGCCTTTGACCTGTGGGGTCCCGCAAGGCTCTATCTTGTCTCCCATGCTCTTTAACATCTACATGAAACCGCTGGGAGAGGTCATCCAGAGTTTTGGAGTTAGGTGCCACCTCTATGCAGATGACACACAACTCTATTACTCATTTCCACCCAACTCCAAGGAGGCCTCTCGGGTGCTGGATGAGTGCCTGGCCGCTGTGTCTATCTGGATGAGGAGGAACAAGCTGAAGATCAATCCCAACAAGACAGAGGTCCTCCTGGTCGATCGCAAACCTGATCGGGGTATAGGGTGGCAACCTGTGTTGGACGGGGTTACACTCCCCCTGAAGCCACAGGTCCGCAGTTTGGGAGTCCTCTTGGATTCATCGCTTACGCTTGAGGCTCAGGCGTCGGCGGTGTCCGGGAGGGCTTTTGCACAATTGAGACTCGTGCGCCAACTGCGACCGTACCTCGCGAAGGCTGATCTGGCCGGGGTGGTCCATGCCTTGGTCACATCTAGATTGGACTACTGTAATGCGCTCTACGTGGGGCTGCCCTTGAAAACGGCTCAGAAATTCCAACTGGTCCAATGGGCAGCAGCCAGGATGTTAACTGGTGCTCCTTACAGAGAGAGGTCAACCCTCCCTCCACTGGCTGCCGTTTATTTTCCGAGCCCAATTTAAGGTGCAGGTGCTTACCTACCAAGCCCTAAACGGTTTGGGACCATCCTACCTGCGTGACCGCATCTCCATTTACGAACCCACACACTCACTTCGGTCATCCGGAGAGGCCCTGCTCGCGATTCCGCCTGCGAGCGAGACAGGGCCTTTTCCTGTGGTGGCCCCCTGACTCTGGAACACCCTCCCCAAAGATCTTAGACAGGTCCCTACGTTGGCAGTCTTTAGAAAGAACTTGAAGACCTGGCTGTTCCGATGTGCCTTTCCAGAATAGGAAAACTCCAACAACAAGTCCCAGAAGCACTTTAGTAGAAATTAAGATTGTTGGCACACTGCACTTACCCTATAATCCCTATATATCACCTGTCACATCAGCACTTTTAATCCTGTACCCATTACTCTGGCCCGGTTTTATTGTGTCCTGGTGTATTGTTTTATTGCTTGTTGTTTAATATTGCTTTAACTGTTTTTAATTTGCTTTAGGTTGTGTATTGTTATGTTGTGTTTTGAGGCTTTGGCCTTTGTAAGCCGCATCGAATCCTTCGGGAGATGCTAGCGGGGTACAAATAAAGATAAAGATAATAATAATAATAATAATAATAATAATAATAATAATAATAATATATTCCGCCTTTCTCACCCCACAGGGGACTCAGGACGGATTACAATGTACATATACATGGCAAACATTCAATGCCATAGACAGACAACATATATAGACAGACACACAGAAGCTATTAACTTTCCAGCTTCTGGCCACCAGGGGAGCTGTCGCTTCCTCATTCTTTGCATACTTGCATACTTCCTGGAGATTTTTTATGGCCTCGTAAATCAGTTAATTTAGCCTCCCCACAAAGTGGTATCTAATTTTCCTACTTGACAGATGCAACTGTCTTTTGGGTTGCAAAGGTCGACAACAAGCTACACAATTTTGGTTGGGAGCTCACTCCGACCCGGGCTGGCTTCGAACTCATGACCTTTCGGTCAGTAGTGATCTTAATGCAGCTGACTCCCAGCCAGCTGCGCCACAGTCCCGGTGTACTTTATTTGTACCCTGCCATCATCTCCCCAAGGAAACTCGGGGCGGCTTACATGAGGCCAAGCCCTACAATACAGTACAACAATGCTAATAACAACATACAATGACAATAAAATAAAAATACATAATAAAATACAAAAAACAATATTAAAAGCACATCAAACAATGTAAAATCACAATTAAACACAGAAAATAAATCACAGTCGGCAGGGCTAGTAACAAAGATTAAAAGTTTAAAACACTGGGTGAGAAGGCAATGTAATGTACCTGGACATGTACTGTTGAATGCTGTGGCTCTAGTAGATATAGGCTGATTTCAAATTCCAAAATTCAGAATACTCCCAAATCCAAAATTGTCAACATCGATGGCTGAGACAGTGGGTCCTTCCACACAGCCATATAACCCAGAATTATAATGCAGAAAATCCCACCCTATCTGCTTTGAACTGGACTGTCTGAGTCCACACTGCATATATTCCAGTTCAAAGCAGATAATGTGGGATTTTATTCAGCTGTGACACCTTTGCCTTCTGATGTTTCATGCACAAAATTATTAGAAATATTTTATGTATATATGATTACCTTCAGGCTATGTATTCATGTTGGAGAAAAGGAGGTTGAGAAGGGACATGATAGCCATGTTTAATTATTTGAAAGGCTGTCACATTGAGGAGGAGGCAGGCTTGGGACTGGGCTTTGCAAAGGACTGCCTTTCCCTATGCAACACCTTCTGTCTGTTAAGGTCGATTGCTGTGCCCTTCTTGCTTGTGCCACTGCCTCCTGAATCGTGGTCAGAAATAACACCCAAAGGTGCCTTCTCTGAGGCTGTGATACCTTGCATGTCAAATTCACTCTCCCAAGAGGTTGATCTTTCTCGCTGCCTTTGCTCTGCCAACAACTGAAACATCTCTTTCTCACTGTTTCCCTTCATTTCAAAGGGACGCAGTCCGGGACAATTTCCCAGAAGATTGTGTGGAATATTAATTAGTAATAGAAGGAAGGTATTAAGATTTTCTGCCTCAGGCATTTGTACATTCTATTTTTGCATTCAGTTTATCTGTGAGCCATTCTCCACCTCTGTGCGTGCATGCATGGATGTTGTTCTAGCTGAGCAAAGTGGGGAAAGGCCCACTTTAAATTACACGTGTTTGCCTCCCAGAGGAAATTATCAGAATTTAAATATGATTTGCCAAAATCTGTACAAATTTAGGTGCAGAGTTTAGAATCATAGTGTTGGAACAGATGGGCCATCCAGTCCAACCCCATGTCAAGAAGCAGGAAAATTGAATTCAAAGCACCCCCAACGGATGGCCATCCAGTCTTTGTTTAAAAGTTTCCAAAGAAGAGAGCCTCTACCACACTCCAGAGCAGAGAGTTCCACTGCTGAATAGCTCTCACAGTCAGGAAATGTTCAGATGGAATTTCCTTTCTTGTAGTTTGAAGCCATTGTTCCATTGTGTCCTAGTCTCCAGGTGATATCAAACAAGAATTTAGGGGTCTTTGCTAGGAGGCAAAAAAAGTTGGCAAAAGTTGATAAAAGTTGTAAAATCCATGGGAGGCAAGTTGGAAAAGGTGTCCCAGAATCCATAGAGTTCTTGTGAGATGACTGCCAGCGCTGGAGATCAAGATCCACGGAGAGAACTACATATCCCTCCTCACCAAGGACCAAGGCGGCCCGCCAACATCTTGGGGGTCCTATGGGGTGACCGCGACAGATTCCCAGGATCGGCAGACTCCCTAGGCATCCACAAAATGGTGGCAACAAGGCAGTATCTTCAGGAGAACAGCTGGGCTCCAGGTTGAGGTTTTGGAAGCATAAATGATTATTCCCGGGGTGGAGGGGTTAGCGGAGTTAAACTGAGATAGCCATTAGTCTTAGAATTCTCCCTGGAGAAGAATTTCACCAATTTTGAAACAATCAGTTGACTCGCGGATACGAGGGGCCCAATGGGTTTCCGTATCCGCGGTTCAGAGGAGCACAGTTTCGGCCTCCCTGGGATGCGAAAATCGCATCCCGTGCAGGCCGGCAGCCATCTGCAGCCTGGGAGAGGAAAGGTTTATGTAGAGAAGAGTTTGGAGGCAGTAAAAGACACAAAGTAACACTATCGAAAAGAAAAAGTTACAATTAATTGTTACTTTATTGGGGAGATTAGTTACAATGTTAGGAAGGGGAAGAAAGCGAAGTAATAAGAAGGCTTCTGGGTTGCAGCAGCTGCTGTGGCCACGTTCATGTAGGTTGGCCCAAGTGGGGCAATAGAGAACTGAGGAACTCCCTGCTGCAAGTTGGATCAGCTTGAAAGCAGGGAGTTCTGGGTTCGACCTCACAGGGCAGCAGAAAACAAGTTTGCTCCCTCCTCCCTATTACTTCCTCTTACATATTTATGAATGGTTATCATGTCCCCTTTTAGCCTTCTCTTCTCCAGGCTAAACATGCCCAGCTCTTTAAGCCGCTCCTCATAGGGCTTGTTCTCCAGACCCTTGATCATTTTAGTTGCCCTCCTCTGGACACTTTCCAGCTTGTTTGGGATATTTACTTTCTTGGACTGCAGCTCCCAGATTCTGTGAATTACAGAAACTCTGCAGAGAGAGTCCATAACATTTTCAATCTGGGGTTTGAAGTAACCCTCAATTAAAACAGTAATATTCAGTCTGTACACACATATGTAGGATTATATTATCATTTTTCCCTAAGCAAAGACATTTTTCACATCCAACAGGCCTTGGCCCTTCGTTTCAGAAGCAGTCTGAGAATAAAGTCAGATTGGTGCAAAACTCTGAAGAAGAAAAAAGCATCAGAGAAAGAGTTCGAATTCCTTTAAGAATTTCCGTCAGAAAACTGAGCCTTCACCTGAGACGGCAGCAAACAAAGGAGACCACCTGGAGCCAGGATACAGCGTACAGAGAGATCCCAGAGGTATTACAAGTTTCATTCTTACAAGCGAGATTTCCTCGGGCTTCAGCCAACTGGGAGATTTTCTGGTTTCCTTCCATTCAGAATATTCTCGTAGCATTTGTTGAGAATGACTTGAATGGATCCGAGTGTCAGCAGCACTACCAAGATTGTGCTTTCATACAAGAGGAAGGGGCAGTGGAGAGATGAACTTTTCTGCAGTTGTTGTCAGTGTCATTTTGTAAAGTAATATATTTGAAGTTTGGCTCAAAGGTACTAAATTTCATATCTGGGAAATGTGAAGCCGTAAGGATAAGAATTATATTTCTGTGTACGAACTTTTAACTAAAAATCACCCTGAAAACATGGCTTGACTTATTAGCGACTCAGTTCAAATACTTATTTATTTATATATTATTTAAAGCATTTATATTCCGCCCTTCTCACCCCGAAGGGGACTCAGGGCGGAGCACAACATATAAACGGCAAACATACTTATCTACAAAGGAGCCAGTTCCTTCTCTGAATAGAATGGCAAAAGGAGAGAGCTTAGTCCATCCTGAAAGAGTCAGTGGCCCCATCTGCACTGCCATATAAAATCCAGATTATTTGCTTTGAACTGGATTATATTAGTCTACACTGCCATATATATGGTGATCATTCCCAGAACCTCAACCAATGGCTGATACCAGATGAGAGACTCCCCCCTGGGCACACAGAAAACTGGGCGACTTGGAAGGCGCTGAACAGACTGCGCTCTGGCACCACAAGATGCAGAGCCAACCTTAAGAAATGGGGCTACAAAGTGGAATCCACGACATGCGAGTGTGGAGAAGAGCAAACCACTGACCACCTGCTGCAATGCAACCTGAGCCCTGCCACATGCACCATGGAGGACCTCCTTGCGACAACATCAGAGGCACTCCAAGTGGCCAGATACTGGTCAAAGGACATTTAATTAACTACCGAGCTTGCAAACTTTGTGTTTTGTCTGTTTGTTTGTTTGTTTATTTTGTTAAAAATGTAATACAAATATCTGGTTGCTCCTGACACGATAAATAAATAATTTTAATGTCGTAATGAAATGTCGTAATGTTTTTGACTTTTTATTGTTGCGTCACTTATATACATTGGTTTTGTATTTTAGGTTTTTTTATTTTCTGTTGTGTTTTTGTGTTATATTGTGTATATTGTATTGCTGGGCGTGGCCTCATGTAAGCTGCCCCGTGTCCCCTTGGGGAGATGGTGGCGGGGTATAAATAAAGTTATTATTATTATTATTATTATTATTATTATTATTATGTTTATGTTTATTATTATGTTTATTATGTTTATTCCAGTTCAATGCAGATAATCTGGATTTTATATGACAGTGTAGATGGGGCCTCAAAGAAGGGGTTGGTTCCTTTTTGAATTAAATTTAAGGTACAATATTTCCTATTATTAAAAATGGAATATTCTCCTTTCTGGGATAGTTTAATCTGTCCCCAGAAAACCTAAAAGTATCACCAAAGACACAATTTTCCCACCTAGTCATTCAAAAAAGCCAGAGGCAGTGGAGCAGTGGAGAATATAGAGGGGGTCAGTATTTCAAATCAAATCAAATAATTTATTTCGGTCATAGACCATCACAAGAAATAAAAGTCACATTTTCATACGAACTTTCATATAAATCAGTGTTCTTTTAAGGCCCAATCTACACTGCCATATAAAATCCAGATTATCTGCTTTGAACTGGAATATATGGCAATGTTGTGTTGTTCATTCATTCAGTCGTTTCCGACTCTTCGTGACCTCATGGACCAGCCCACACCAGGGCTCCCTGTCGGCCGTCACCACCCCCAGCTCCTTCAAGGTCAATCCAGTCACTTCAAGGATGCCATCCATCCATCTTGCCCTTGGTCGGCCCCTCTTCCTTTTTCCTTCCATTTCCCCCAGCATCATTGTCTTCTCTAAGCTTTCCTTTCTTCTCATGATGTGGCCAAAATACTTCATATTTGCCTCTACTATCTTTCCCTCCAATGAGCAGTCGGGCTTTATTTCCTGAAGTATGGACTGGTTGGATCTTCTAGTGGTCCAAGGCACTCTCAAAACTTTCCTCCAGCACCACAGTACAATCCAATTCAAAGCAGTTAATCTGGAAGGCTTTTTAAATGTCTGAGAAGCGGTTGCCAAAGACATCTGACTCTTCCTCTGTGTAATTACTTTTTTGTGTTCAGGTTTTTAATTTTATTGTATGCAAATGGCAAGCAGAAACAATAATTACAATAACTAGCAAAACTGATACATTACAACACCCTTAGAAACTGTTTCCCTCCTTACTCTCATCTGTAAATTCACCAGCGATGACTTCCGTCACTACTCACTGTGAATCTTAGATCTAATGAAACCAACCCTTATAACTACTTTAGTAGATTCTCCTTGTGGCTACTTTAAAAACTACATTGGTCTTTCTTTCCAGATATCCAAATGTCAGACTCCAATTTTTTTTGCGAACTCTTCATTATTTCCTCCCCATTCCTCCATTAGATAGTTTGGCCATTTGAATATATTCTAATAACTTTTCTCTCCAATTCTTTTTAGATAGTTCTTTTTCATCTTTCCAAGATGTTGCTGTTTCAAATGTCTATATTGACAAATGTCTTCATCCCCTTTACTAATTATCTCCCTAAAAAGTCCTAATAGACACATGTCTGGGGGTTTTCTTAACCTTATTAGTAATCATTTTGTTTATTTCCTTAATCACATTTTTCCAAAAATGTTGGGCCATCCTATAAGTCCACCAGATGTGAAAATAAGTGCCTTTCTGCATCTTGTATCCCCATCTCTATGTAATTACCTTTGACTTTTTATGGGCCACATCAAAATCCATAATTTTAGCCACTGAATCCACCCATAATGAGGTCCACTTATATCTGAGTATATATGGTGTAGTACTGCTATCCATTCTGTGGGTCAGACCCAAGAAAGTTTACAGAAGCTCAGCAGACTGGGAGCTGAAGCTCACCTTTGGGCCCCTTCTAGACTGTCATATAATCCAGTTGAAAGCAGATAATCTGGATTTTATATGGCAGTGTAGAAGGGACCTTGGACTTCCATTGGGGCTGGTTAAGGGGCCTTAGCTAGGAGTGGCATCTATAGCTGTGACCTCCAGCAGAAGGAAGGCATCAGGGAGTTGAAGAGCAACAGCCATAAGGTTGTCATTGTGCTGCTCTCAAATCACCTCCTTTTTCTCTAATGACTGGGGTCACCCTCAGGGTTTGAAATCTTATCTATGATGAGCTGGGCTTAAATGAGTTAGATTTGCAAGCTTTGAAACTTCCTTCACACTTCACATGGAAGGGGACTTCACCATCGTTATTTCAGTATCATTAAGAGGAGCTCATTCAACTTAAATGTGAGAGCATTTTGAAGTTGAGCATGAGGGATGGATGTATTCAATAATTCAGACAGGGCTGGCTTTGTAGTTTGAAAACCAGGTGCTGTAGAGGCTATGGCTCCTGTACCTTGAAGAGTGGGCGGAAGAGATCTAAATTTATGTCGCGTTGTTATGATTCGGACCGACATTAAGTGCAGACCTGATTATTTTTATTGAGATGAGGCAGAAAAAGGAGTGAGAAAGTGGGCTGAAGGCTAACAACTCCATACACCCTCTAGTTCAGTCTGATGTTTTAATTGTGTTTATGGTATATATTTATATACAGTGTGATATATGAGGCTTGAATGAGAAGTAATGCCTCCATCTTCGTTACTTGGGTTTAGATGGGAATATTTCTGAGAATATTGCCGGTTTGAGTCCCTCTGCGAAGGTTGAGAAGATTGGGACATAAAAGTTTTAAATAAATATTAAATAAATAATATTTTAATAAATCAAACGCAGAAATAATCCTTAGAATGTGCTCTTTAACTACCACTATTGACTTGGATACATTTCTGCCAACGATGAGCAAGTTTTCTGAAGCCGTCATGGAAGAAGTCTGTTTCCACAACCAGCATCTCACAGTTCTCTCATCCTGGGTACCCATCGTGCATAGATCTTAGCCAAGCAAAGCAATAAATAGCCAAGCAAAGCAATAATGTGAATCACACATTCTTGTGAAATGCCGATTATGCTTGAAATTTCTCTCTGAGTGATATGACAATTGTCCTGAATCAATTTCTCAATCTTTTGCTTGTGAAACGCGGTGGTTACTATCACAGGACGTCCAACTCTTTGTTTGTCATGCAAGTCAGATCTTCCCACCCCAACATCTTTAAACTTACTCGCCCAACGACACACAGTATTCACATCAACACAATCAATTGTATGTATATATATCTTGTAGGCTGCTCTGATTCCCCTTCGGGGTGAGAAGGGCGGCATATAAATGTTGCAAATAAATAAATAAATACTCAGTTCTTGTGGGTTTTTTTCGGGCTATATGGCCATGTTCTAGAGGCATAAATAAATAAATAAATTATCAAAGCAGATAATCCACATTATGTGCTTTGAACTGGACTATATGACTCTGCACTGCCATATAATTCAGTTGAAAGCAGATAATCTGGATTTTATACGGTAGTGTAGAAGGGACTTTTTTTATCCCCCAGTGTCTCTGTAATCAGCAAAATGTGATATCCTTTGATAACCTACTTGGTTCCATCTACTGGCATAAAACTGAAGTGTTGGCAAGCATAGCTCGCTTTCCGACTTCGTTGCTATTTCCAATGTATGGCAACCTTATGGCGAACCTCTCTTGGGTTTATTTTGGCAAGATTTCTTCAGGGAGAGTTTGCCTTTGTCTTCATCTGAGAGAGTCTGACTTATCCAAGGTCAACCAGTGAGTATCCAACACTGTAAAGCTGATTTGAACCTTGGTCTCCAGAGTCTTGGTCCGAGATGCAAACATTACACCAGGCTATCTCTCAACCTCCTTTTTGCCTTACAGTCTTACAGTAAGCATCACCCACATTGGTTTCAGGTAAAGATGGACTAGTCAAATAGTGACACCCAAACCCTAGCGGATACTAAGAGGCTACTAGAATTAACTTCTAACAATGTGTTGCCCTTTAACTGTGACCAGAGCTGGAAGCATAATGCGACTTTCCTTGTTTTCCCTAATGGCAGGTTTGATCATGTTGGTCTCATCATAAGCCTCAGTTGCCTTGAGGACTTGCTTCTTCTACTATTAGAGAAAACAATGCAACTCCCTCAGGGAGCAGGTTTGATTGTTGTGCAAACGCAGCAAATAGTTAGATATTTAATTTGTTGGGTTGTTGTAGGTTTTTCGGGCTATATGGCCATGTTCTAGAGGCATTCTCTCCTGACGTTTCGCCTGCATCTTTGACAAGCATCCTCAGAGGTAGTGAGGTCTGTTGGAATTAGGAAAATGGGTTTATGTATTTGTGGAATGACCAGGGTGGGACAAAGAACGCTTGTCCATTGGAACTAGGTGTGAATGTTTCAACTGACCACCTTGATTAGCATTTGATGGCCTGGCAGTGCCTGGGGCAATCTTTTGTTGGGAGATGATTAGATGTTCTTGATTGTTTCCTCTAATCACCTCTGTGCTGGTACGGCTGTACCAGGAGCTCCAACTTTATTTGCTTTGTATTAAACGTTTGTTTGCAGTCCTAGGTTTCAGGGACTCTGCAGATAGATGGCTTCCTTCGGTTGCAGTCATAGGGCAAGTCACCTGTCCATCATTGTTAAATTTTGGTCCCGCCCCTTGCTCAGGGCAATTGGGAAGGGAAGGGAGCCATTTTTTAGTTAGTCTCAGCAAGGAAAGCTAATGTACAGGACGTGTGCAAGCTTCCCCTGTACAAATGCTTTAACCCTTAAGACCTTCCAGGGGAGAACAGTCTTAAGAGTCTCCAAAGATTTCCAGGGAAACAACCCTAAAGACCAAAGAACTCCAGCTGGAGAACATCTAAGCCTTTACTGGTAGGTCCACTCGGCGTTCGAGAAGCAGTTCGACCCGGTAGCGGAGCCCACATCTGTAAGGGTTAGATTACAATCAGCCTGGGAGAAGTTAAAAAGGGGATTTTCCATTTAAAGTAAAGAAGAAGTTATTGAAGCCTGTCATTCGTGGGCAAGATTAGGAAGTCACCAGTTGCATAAAGCTTGGAAGCATTTGTTTAGCTTTATTGAAGACAAGAGAAGTTTCTGTTTGCTTGTTCATTAATAAAAGGCTTTGTTGTACTTCTCAAGCCATCTAAAGACTGTGGTGGAAACCTCTGAGAACTTCTCTTTGGGCCCCCTGGCTTCCCGCTGGGCAAAGGTTGCACGTCTTGTTCTAAAGAAAATTCTTTACATGCCCAGTGCGCGACAGAACATCTAATCACCTCCCAACATCTAATCACCTCCCAACAAAAGATTGCCCCAGGCACTTCCAGGCCATCAAATGCTAATCAAGGTGGTCAGTTGAAACATTCACACCTAGCTCCAACAGACAAGAGTTCTTTGTCCCACTCTGGTCATTCCACAAATATATATAAATGCAGGCAAAACATCAGGAGAGAATGCCTCCAGAACATGGCCATATAGCCCGAAAAAACCTACAACAACCCAGTGATTCCGGCCATGAAAGCCTTCGACAATACATTTAATTTGTCATTCATACATGTTTACTTCCAGAGATAGGAATAGTGGGACTTGTTGGATGTTTTTGGCCTCTTGCACCAAAGTAACTTGGTTTGGGATACTGTACCTGACTAGTGTGGTTTAGGAACTTCATATGCTGCTCTGCATTAAGCAAAAATTGCCTTGGGACTTCATTACACGCAATAAAATCAGCATTTCTACACATTTAAAAAACAGCCACCAACAGAGCCCATCACATGACGCAAGCTCCTGTGGTGGGTTCCATGTATTTTGCCATTTCTAAAGTGTGGTTTTTTTTTTCTGCACTTCCTAAGGTGATTGACAATGGGTTACTTTTTTAATTCCCCATGTAGAGATGGGTAAAAACATCAAATTTAACATGTGATGGGAATTCCCCATTGTCCGCTTGTAAAGATAACAATGATCTCATTCTGGGCGGGAGGCAGTGAGATGGGCAACACTGATTCTTTTCTTCCACCATAATCTTTAGAACCGAGGAGGATGGAACGATAATTTATATCTTTTTTAACCATGTAAAATTCAATAGAGTTAACTTTTGAATTGAGAAATATCTGTACTTTTAAACTATAATAAAGAATAGAAGAAATTCCGTTTAATGATCTCATGTTAAAAAGTACTTCCACGAGAACAAGCAGAACAGAGAATTTCTTCCAAGTAAAAGAAAATGGGGGAAGAGACAGTGGGAGGAGAAATGTGTCTCCGTGTGATGGGAAGGCAAATGGATAATTTGAAAAGAAAGCTGAATGAAGGAAAACGTGTGGTGAGGGTAGAAAAATCATTGGTTTAATTTCCAAACAGGGCATTGTGGAGCTTAAGGGGAAAACAATGATTCTTCAACACTTTACTTATTGCTTGGGATGAAGTTCTTGGTCTGATTCTAGGTGACATAGAAAGGGGCTGGAAAAAGGAAAGCGGGTCTTCGCTGGAAGTGAGAAGAGTTACTCAAATACAATGTTTGAAATATTCTGTTCTGACCTCTTCTAGGAGAGCTGGACAGGAGTTCAACAAGACAGAGAGGCCAATAAAGATGAGCTGGGCCACACTGAAAGGCCAAATAATTCTGTCAATTATCCAACTCTGGCGAATACCATCATTGACACTTCTGATCTATGGTGTGAGCAATCTCATGTGACTTTCTATGGAGGTTTTCTCCCTGGAAGAAAGATCTCATATAGTGGTAAGACGCATGCCACTTTGTCATTTAATTATTGTAATATTTAATAGTAGGTTTATTTATTTACAGTATTTATATTCCGCCCTTCGCACCCCACAGGGGACTCAGGGCGGATTATAGTGCACATATACATGGCAAACATTCAATGCCATAGACACACAACATATATAGACAGACACACAGAGGCTATTTAACATTCCAGCTTTTTCATGAGGGCCACCAGGGGAGCTGTTGCTTCAACGTCCATTTGTGACACTGATGAAGTACTTCCTCATTCTCTGCATGCTTGCTGGAGATTTTTATGGCGTCATAAATTAGCCTCCCTGCATAAGCGGTACCTAAATTTCCTACTTGACAGATGCAACTGTCTTTTGGGCTGCAAAGGTTGACAGCAAACTACACAAATTGGTCAGAAGCTCACCCAGGCTGGCTTCGAACTCATGACCTTTTGGTCAGTAGTGATCTTAATGCAGCTGTTCTGTCGCGCACTGGGCCTGTAAAGAATTTCCTTTAGAACAGGACGTGCAACCTTTGCCCAGCGGGAAGCCAGGGGGCCCAAAGAGAAATTCTCAGAGGTTTTCCACCACAAATGATCTTTAGATGGCTTGTGAAGTATAACAAAGTTTTAATGAACAATCAAACAGAAACTTCTCTTGTCTTCAGTAAAGTTAAACAAATGATTCCAGGCTTTCATGCAACTGGTGGCTTCCTGATCTTATTGTCTTCAATAACTGATTCTTTACTTTAAAAGAAAATCCCCTTTTTAACTTCTCCCAGGCTGACTGTAATCTAATCCTTACTGATATGGGCTCCGCTACTGGGTCGAACTGCGTCTCGAAGCACCGAGTGGACCTACCAGTAAAGGCTTAGATATTCTCCAGCTGGAGTTCTTTGGTCTTCCAAACTGTTTACACTCCGAAATTCTTCAAAGCTTTAGGGCTGTTTCCCTGGAAATCTTTAGAATCTTTGGATGCTCTTAAGACTGTTGTCCCCTGGAAAGTCTTAAGGGTTGAAGCTTTTGTACAGGAGAAGCTTGAACACGTCCTGTAGATAAGCTTTCCTTACTGAGACTAACTAAAAATGCCTCCCTTCCCTTCCCAATTGCCCTGAGCAAGGGGCGGAACCAAAACTTAACAATGATGGACAGGTGACTTGCCCTACGACTGCAACCAAAGGAAGCCACCTTTCTGCAGAAACCCAGGAACCTTTGACTGCAAGCAAACATTTAATACAAAGCAAATAAAGTTGGAGCTCTTGATACAGCCGTACCAGCACAGCAGCTGATTCCCAGCCACCTGCGCCACAGTCCTGGTGCAGGTTAATACATTCTAATGAACACAATAGTATGTGCCTATAATATAGTAACATTCAATATGTGGTTTCCAACAGTTTCAGAAGATAAGGATTTTACTACCTTTGTATTTGGAGACTCTAGAAGGACAAGTAGGAAATCCTTGAAGGTTATGTTAACCTTCAGCTAAGTAATATTTTTAACACCAACTTTGTCATCCTTGGGTTAAGTGAGCCTTTGGATGCATCTAATTTGATCTGTGTGGCAATTATTTAATCTTCTTTCTGAACTTTTGACAGGTAACCAAAGACATTTGAAAAATGTTGATGGAAATAGACCCTCAATGGATACAGTTTTATTCCCGCCTATTCACCCAGAAGCAAGATCAGAGCAAGGTGGAGCTACAAAGGAGCATAAAAAGCAGGTAGGTGTGCTTCTACCTAATAGAATTGCAACTATCAGAAAATAAGCAACAGCAAAAAAAGAAACAAAAACTGGGGAGCATCCAGTGGAATTTGTAGAAGACACAAGGGACATCACTCAAGATACTGAACAATTGCTTAGTTTGTTGATTGAAAAAAACCAAAACATTTCAGTTCACCATCGGTCTATGAGTGCTCTTAAGTCAACCTTTCTCAATCGTTTTACTCTGGAGTGGTGGTTCTCAGCCTGTGGGTCCCCAGATGTTTTGGCCTTCAACTCCCAGAAATCCTACCAGCTGGTAAACTGGCTGGGATTTCTGGGAGTTGTAGGCCAAAACACCTGGGGACCCACATGTTGAGAACCACTGCTCTGGAGGAACCTTTCAAATAATTTTCAGGTCCCAGGGAAACTATGCATAAAATTGCACTATATAACAACATTTGAAAAGAAATGCTGTTCCTGGTTTGAAAGTGTTATTTCCTGTTTAATTGTGCAGCACTTACTTTGAAAGTAGTTGTTATATTCCATAAACTTGGTTTTTGTGGCTGCCACAAACTATGTTGAATTGGTTGAGGTGCTATGAGATATTCACTGAAAAACTATAGCAAAATATGCTGCAGGATGTCCCACAGAAACAGTTTTTGCCATTTAATAAACCTTTCCTGTGTTTTTATGATAGAACCAATTAGGAAATTACATCTATTACCCAGGAACAAATCCATACTCCAGGAAATAAAACCCGACTGCTCATTGGAGAGAAGGATATTAGAGGCCAAGATACTTTGGCCACATCATGAGAAGACAGGAAAGCTTAGAGAAGACAACGATGCTGGGGAAAATGGAAGGAAAAAGGAAGAGGGGCCAACCAAGGGCAAGATGGATGGATGGCATCCTTGAAGTGACTGGATTGACCTTGAAGGAGCTGGGGGTGGTGACGGCAGACAAAGATTTCTGGCGTGGGCTGGTCCATGAGGTCACGAAGAGGAAGCGACTGAACGAATGAACAACAAAACAACCCAGGAACAAAAGTTGTGTTACATAGTGTTATTAAACCTACCTCTCAAAAAGTAATGTTTTGCTTTTTCATTCATGATCTCCTACAGCAACCTCTCACAGAATCCAAGGTTTTCAGGGAATCCTGGTTGAAACCACTGTTTTTAGGCCTATTTTAAAGGACTACCTCTGATCAGGGATAGGTGGCTTCTTAAAGAAGCCTTAAGAGCACCTGTAGGTTGAATCAAGTCAGCCTTTTCCTTTTTCCTGGAGAACATAAATGGGCTTCTAACAATAAAATGATTAAACCAATTGGCTGTAGGAGCTTCTGTCATGTTAATTCCCACACAAAAATAGATGCACGATCTGAAGAAACATGAAGTAGACACCCTGCTTCTGAAGCTAGACAGCATGGATGGGCAACTAGTCTTGAAATCCCATGTGTATTTCTTTGAATCCCATGATGAAAGGAAAGAGAGATACAACAAACAGACCTTTGAAAAAATTATGGGGGACATGACCAATCTCAAAATCATATACCGACTAGAAAGTTTCACTCCAGAACAGTAATTTTCCTCCCAGACTATGACAAAAATACCTAAATAGTCTGGGGACAAAATTATCTGGACACAATGTAAAACAAGCGAAGAAGGAAAGTTTCACATTTAGCACCATTTAGCATTTGGGCTGAACTTCATGGTAGTTATAGAGGAGTAAACTAGTAAGCTTCGTGACTTTTCTTCCAGTTTTTTTCTAAGAGACACATGCAGCTAGTCATCCACAAACAATACATATTGATAAAAAATGAAATGGTGGGAAACACATATTTGATTATAACATATGGAGTTAGGAATTTTCAAGACATTGAAAATTAGTTCAACACATGTAACAAACTAGTGGCAAATACTTGGTGGTATATGAATACTGAGTCATCTTGTCTGTCTCCTGAGGAATCTGAATAACGACCAGGGAGCAACAGTAAGAACAGACCACAGAACAACAGACTGGTTCCAGATTGGGAAAGGAGTATAGCGAGGCTGTATACTCTCACCCAACCTATGCAACTTGTATGCAGAACACATCATGCTATGTGTGGGGCTTGAAAAATCCAAGGCTGGAGTTAAAATTGCTGGATGATATGATATGCGGATGATACCACTTTGATGACTGAAAGCGAGGAGGAGCTGCGGAGCCTTATAACTAAGGTGAAAGAAGAAAGTGCAAAAGCTGGGTTGCAGTTCAACATAAAAAAACCAAGATGATGGCAACCAGACTATTTGATAACTGGCAAATAGAGGGAGAAAACGTAGAGGCACTGAAAGGCTTTGTATTCCTAGGTGCAAAGATTACTGCAGACATAGGAAATCAGAAGACGTTTACTTCTTGGGAAGAGAGCAATGACCAATCTTGATAAAATAGTGAAGAGTAGAGACTTCACATGGGCAACGAAGATCCGCATAGTTAAAGCAGTGGTATTCCCCGTAGTAACCTATGGATATGAGAGCTGGACCATAGGGAAGACTGAGCGAAGGAAGATAGATGCTTTTTAACTGTGGTGTTGGAGGAAAGTTCTGAGAGTGCCTTGGACTGCGAGAAGATCCGAACCAAACCATACTCCAAGAAATAAAGCCCGACTGCTCATTGGAGGGAAGGATAGTAGAGGCAAAGATGAAATCCTCTGGCCACATAATGAGAAGACAGGAAAGCTTGAAGAAGAGAATTATGCTGGGGAAAATGGAAGGAAAAAGGAAAAGGGGGTGACTAATGGCAAGATGGATAGATGTTATCATTGAAGTGACTCCTTCAAGGTCAAGGAGCTGGGGGTGGCCACAGCCGACAGGGAGCTGTGGCATGGGCTGGTCCATAAGGTCACGAAGAGTTGGAAATGACTGAACAAATAAACAACAAAAAAAACTGGTTTGCAATGGAATTTCTGGAATGGCATGCAGATTTTATGGCCCCAGGACAAGGCATTTTCAAGCATAACAATTGTTTGTCCAAATGGACATCTTGGAGACGAATGAACACATGCACTTGACTCAGTGACCACCTCCCTACAAAAGACAGATTCAGTAATCGGTGATTAACATAAGACAGAATGTGTTTATACTTTAAACCTTATGTTTTTTCCTCTTTTTTAAAACTATGTTACTTCAATCTGAATGTTGGGAATGTATGCAACTGACTTTTTTTTTACTCATCTATATATATAAAAATGCTCTGTGCATAATGAGTACATTAAAAACAAAAGAACCAATGAATGAAATCACACAAAATTTGGCAACAAAATATCTCACAACACAAGTGACCATCACTCAAAAAATTATGATTTTGTCATTTGGGAATTGTAGTTGCTGGGATTTATAGTACACCTGCAATCAAAGAGAATTCTGAACTCCGCCAATGATGGAATTGAACCAAACATGGCACAGGTCTCCCATGACCAACAGAAAACACTAGAAGGGTTTGGTGGCCATTGTCCTTGAGTTTGGGAGTAGTAGTTCACCTACATCCAGAGAGCACTGTGGACTCAAACAATGATGGATCTGGACCAAACTTGGCACAAGCACTCAATACGCCCAAATATGAACACAGATGGAGTTTGGGGAAAATAGACCTTGACATTTGGGACCTTGACATTTGGGAGTTGTAGTCACTGGAATTCACAGTTCACCTACAATCAAAAAGCATTCTGAACCCCACAAACGACAGAATCGGGACAAACTTCCCACACAGAACCCCCTTGACCAACAGAAAAAACTTAAGGCCATCTGATCCAAGGCATCAGGGCAAGAAAACGTAATCAGAGTCCTCCTGACAAAGAGCCATCCAGCCATAAATAGATAGATAGATAGAGATAGGGAGTTGTAGTTGCTGGGATTTATAGTTCACCAACAATCAAATAGCATCATAGAATTGAACCAACTGGGGCATACAGGACTCCCATGACCAACAGAAAACACTAGAAGGGTTTGGTGAGCACTGACCTTGAGTTTGGGAGTTGTAGTTCACCTACATCCAGAGAGCACTGTGGACTCAAACAATGATGGATCTGGACCAAACCTGCCACAAGAATTCAATACACCCAAATATGAACACAGATGGAGTTTGGGGAAAATAGACCTTGACATTTGGGAGTTGTAGTTACTGGGAGTTATAGTTCACCTACAATCAAAGAGCATTCTGAACCCTACCAACGACAGAATTGGGCCAAACTTCCCACACAGAACCCCCTTGACCAACAAAAAATCAGACAGGCCCCTACGTTGGCAGTCTTTAGGAAGAATTTGAAGACCTGGCTGTTCAGATGTGCCTTTCCAGAATAGGAAAACTCCAGCAACACGTCAAAGAAGCACTTTATTAGAGTTTAAGATTGCCTGCACACTGCACTTACCCTACCACCTGTCACACTCAGCACTTTTTAATCTGTACCCATTACATTTGGCCCGGCCCTAGTTTTATCGTGTTTTGGTGTACTGTTTTTGTTGTTCTGATATTGCTTTAATTGTTTTTTATTTGCTTTAAGTTGTGTATTTGTTATGTTATTGTTTTATTGAGGCCTTGGCCTTTGTAAGCCGCATCGAATCCTTCGGGAGATGCTAGCGGGGTACAAATAAAGCTAATAATAATAATAATAATAATAATAATAATAATAATAATAAAATACTCAAGGCCATCCAGTCCAACTCCCTTCACCAGGGCAAGAAAACGTAATCAAAGCCCTCCTGACAAAGAGCCATCCAGCTATAGATATAGATAGATATGATTCACACACACACAGATATAGCATCATAGATTTGAAAGAGACCCTTAAAGAAGGACAATTATACATTGCATATTCCAGAGTGGGCAAACCAGACACTGTCCACATCAACACTGGCAAAGAAACAACAAGAAATACTGTTTACCCACAAGCAGAAAGACATTACTTATATTAGAAACCAACATTTTCTTATTATTTTCCAGATCAACAGTCTGGGCCACAGCAACGCGTGGCAGGGGACAGCTAGTGAGCTATATAAATGAAAAACCGGACACCCAGAATCAATTCCTTTGAAAATGCCTTACCCTGGGAGAGGTTGTCTAGCATACCAAGTTCTGAGAGGGAAAGAGAAAGGGGCTTCTCCTGTGCTTTCCCCCCACCATCTGCCATCTGAAGCATCCCTCTCATTCTGGCTAATTGTGGAGTCAATCCTGTTAAGGATTGCTTAAGGCTGCTGCCATCCCATGCCTGTGAGGCTCACCTCTGAGTAATTACGCAATGGATCAGATTATACTGAAATCAAAGGGGCGTAAGTGTGACTAATTGGGCACTATATTGCACCCTGGCTGTTCTCACTCTGCTACAAACACAAGCACGGATTCTCCTGTACATTATTTCAAAGTGGGTGTAGCTCATCAACTGAACAAAAGCCTCACAGTTTTGGAATCAGAATTTTGTTGGGAACTCTGCCCACCTGGAGCGCCAATCCTTTACAGAGCCAGAATAAGACTGTATGGAGTATAAAGGGCTCTTTAATCCATCTGAAGTCATTTGAAATGGGTGGTGTCAAAAATGTCAAAGATGGGTGGTTTCAAGTATGTCAAATGAAATGTCTTGAAGTTTTGTTTTTCTCCTAGGTGCCAGAGATTTTCAGGTTACCTCAGATACCTGAAGACTCGCCCAGAGCTCCTTGGAAACAATGTGCGGCCCGTGAACTCTCAAAGGAACTTGTGGTCCTTCCATTGCTGGTTCATGTGGGAAGGGAGACTCAGGACAAAGTGAAAAGGCTTAAAGGTACAACTGCGCCATGGACGACTGGTACAGGTGTATCACGGCGATTCAGTCAAAGAAAATTCTTCCATTCTGTTCACCATCAGCTCCTGTTGTGTGCTTTAAACAACTTTCATTGAATAGGCTTGTTTTAATTGGCCTACACCCAGCTAAGTTAGAAAATGTACATGCATCAAAGGCAGTCTCTGCGTTCACTTCAAAGGGTTCTGCCCCCGTCTTGTCAAACTAGAAACCATGTTCTCCTTGGTGTAAAACACAAGCAGGCTCAATAGAACGAGAAGACAGTTGCCCTCGGTCTCCCACCATGCCCTATCTATGGCTTTATCTTTTTGGGGTTTGACATGGCCGTTTCCCTGCAAGACTGTTTTACTGTTTTGATGTTTGCTGATGTATTGTTTTAATTATGATTTATGTTCAATTGTGGTTTTATTATTGTAATTGTTATGTAGTGGCTCATTGTAAGCCATCCTGAGTCCCCCTTTGGGGGTAAAGAAGTGATGGGGTAGAAATACCATAAATAAATAAATAAATAAATAAATAAATAAATAAATAAATAAATGGAATACATGTAGGGCCAAATGCCATCAGTTTTATAGCCAAAAGCCAAAAGAGCTTCACCTACTCACATGAAAGGAAAGTATGGGGAATCCCAGAGTAATAAATTAAATTTAAATCTCCCTTGTGGGGAAGATCTAAAGCAGCCCAACAGAGGAAAAACATACAACAAAAACTGAAAATGGTCTAGCAGCTGTGACTAACTGCTGGGGTTAAAAATGGAAGACATAATGTAAGTGGAGAGGGGTTGAAGATCATGGAGAAAACCATGTGTGATGGAATGGAAGAGTAAACTAGAGAGGTCTACACTGCAAGATTTTGTTGCTAGTCCCACTTGTCACTGTTCTTTGTGTACTCCTGGTTTGTGTTGGCTAGGGACAATGGAAGCCATAGTTCCATGCAATGCTTCTCAAAGCAGTACTTCATTGACTGCCAGTCCCTAGGCAGTGGTTCTCAACCTGGGGTCCCCAGATGTTTTTGGCCTACAACTCCGAGAAAACCCAGCTAGTTTACCAGCTGTTAGGATTTCTGGGAGTTGAAGACCAAAAACATCTGGGGACCCCAGGTTGAGAACCTCTGCCCTAGAGAGATTCCAAAAAAGAAATGAGATATATTACCCAATGGAAACAAATGGGCCGCCAGAATCACCGCACATTGTGGCAAATCTGATGGTGCCCCTTGGGGGGGGGGGCGGACATGGGGAACCCATTTTTCCATATCCCACTTTGCCCAAATCACCCATTGCCCCATCCCATCAGGGGAAGCATTGTCCACCTGGCTTATCCCCATTGACATCTATTGAACATTGAATGTACCAATTCAGCTATACTATTATAATGGATCCCCGCTGGAAGTTGATCTATGTCATGGGATGGAAGCTGTCAAGCTCCATCATAAAAGTATAGGTGAACCGGCACATTCACTAAAAGTACCTCATGTGATGAGGTCCATAATTTGAGTACGTGGCACCAATGGAGGGTGGGGGGATAACTTTCAATCCCCCACTTCAGATGTCGTGAGAAGCATTGCTCTAACAAATCAGGAGGCATCGGGTTGAGGGAGGTTGCTATTCAGATTTGATTTTATTGGTACTAATCTATGAATTGTTGTTCATATTGTGCATGTAGCAGGGCTCAGATTGCATTGCAGCAGGTGGTCTGTAGTTTGCTCTTCTCCACACTCGCATGTCGTCTCCACGCTCGCATATGAAGTACGGCAGTCTTTTCTTGTTTGATAAGGGTTCAATCATAAGTTCCTGAAAAGTCCTCTAGCCATTGTGTGAGAGAAAATACTTTTCAGATGGATGAAATGTTCATTAGTTAACTTCTATTATTTTTCTTTCTTACATTTCAGGAACATGCAGTAATGAACTACAGTCTATGACTGATAGCTGTAATAAGCACTTGACCCTTTTGCAAAATGATCTCATTTTGGAGTCAGACCATAAAAGGGAGCAAGAGCAGATGATGAGCAGTCAGATTACAGATACTTCCCAAGTCAGTTTCACCTTACCTCCCATAAATAACAAAGATTATGCTCTCGGTACAAAGAAGATAAGGAAGACAGAGGTGTGTTCTGAAAATAACCACAAGTATGAAAGAGGTGAGTTACTCCAGATAGACAAAACCTTGTTTTGACCGAGGACAATAGGTCAGTTAGTTAATCGTAGCTGGACAAGTTGTTTCTTGGCACTCCAACTCCCAGATTGCATGACCATTGGCTATTTTGGCTGGAACTTTATGGGAACTATAGTCAAAAAGTGTAATTTGTGGGACTTCAGGTATAGTCTTCTCCAGTATCACAAGGATGGGAAGGATGTAGGGCTGGAAAGAACAGATTTAAGATGGCTTACAAACGGCAGGTTTAGTATACAGACCACTCTAAATTGAGAGGGAGGAGGAAACAATTCCTGTCTACATTTGTTTTATCATGTCAGAAGCGACTTGAGAACATACTGCAAGTTGCTTCTGGTGTGAGAGAATTGACCATGTACAGAGACGTTGCCTAGGCGATGCCCGGATGTGTTACCATCCTGCTGGGAGGCTTCTCTCATGTCCTTGCAAGCTAGAGGTAACAGATGGGAGTCTGCCCCATTTTGCGGATTCAAACTGGCAACCTTTAGGTTAGCAACCCAACCTTCAGGTCAGCAGTCCAGCCATCAAAAGGGCTGGACTAAAAACTAAAACAAGTGTTTTTAGTTTGTTGACACTGTGGCTCCTCTGTCTACTTTAAATATTGGGAAAGTAGCATCATTGACTTGCCTGATGGTGATATTTATTTATATCCTGCTTTTTCTCTCTAAAAAGTGGCCAAGAAGACTAAAAGCAATACAATGTGTAATTTAAAACTGAATACACATAAACACTTTAGGAACTAAGCAGAAGTTGTAAGTTTTACTACCAATTGAAGAAAAAAACAATTAGCTAGGGTTCATAATGTGGGTGTATTTAATGGCCCTTTACAACATTATGAACAATTTAAAACCATCAAATGTTTTCTACAAGTACACAGGTGTATTTGCCACAATGCAATTGTGCCATAAACCTAAACTTGGTTTAATTATTGTTGTTTCCTTCTCCCCTACAATCCATAGGAAGTATAATTTTGTCAGTTTGAGACTGTCCAGTGTCAACAAACTAAAAACACTTGTTGTTGAGTGCTTTCAAGCTATTTCCAATTTACAGCAGCATTAAGGGACCTTATCACAAGGTTTTATTGGCAAGGTATTTTCAGAGGTGGGTTGGGTTTGCCTTCCTCTGAGAGATTGTGATTTGTCCAGGGTCACCCAATCTGTATCCATGCATGAAAGGATATTTAAACCAGTGTTTATCAGACTTCTTAATGCCGCAACCCCTTAGTACAGTTTGTCATGTTGTGGTGACCCTCAACCATAAAATTATTTTTTTTGTTGCTACTTGGTAACTGTACTTTTGCTACTTTTACGAATCGTAATGTAAATATCTGATATGCAGGATGTATTTTCATTCACTGGACCAAATTTGGCACAAATACTCAATATGCCCAAATGTGAACATTGGTGGAGTTTGGGGAAAATAGACTTGACATTTGAGAGTTGTAGTTGCTGGGATTTATAGTTCACCTACAAAGAGCATTCTGCACCCCACCAATGATAGAATTGGACCAAACTTCCCACAACGAAACCCCCATTACGAATAGAAAATACTGTGTTTTCTGATGTTCTTTGGTGACACTTCTGACACCCCCTCACGACCCCCAGGTTGAGAAACACTGATTTAAACCCTAGTCTTCAGAGCTGTAGCCCAGCACTCAAAATACAATACCATGTTGGCTCAAAAGCACAAACTGGAGAATGTGGGCATTAATTCTGCTAATTTTCATATTCTAAGTGAGGCTTCTACCATTTAATCCCACTCCTTTACCATTTCAGAATTTCCCAGAAAAAGTCATAACTGTTGAAATTTAGTTGTTTACTTATTTATTTAAGAGCCAGTTTCGTATAGCGGTTTGGGTATTGAACTAAAATTCTGGGAGACCAGAGTTCAGTTTCCCATTCAACCACAGAAACCTTGGAAAACCTCAGCCTCAGTGGAAGACAACGGCAAACTCCCTCAATTGGTTCTCATTCGGATTGCTCAAAAACAATATTTGCGCAAAAACAATGTTTACTTATTATATTTCTATCCCATTTTTATAAAAAAAAAACAAGACTATGAATGTGAAGAAGCAAAGCTTAGGCAAGTCATTATTATTTTGGGTTGTTGTGGGTTTTTTTCGGGCTATATGGTCATGTTGTAGAGCAGTGGTTCTGAACCTGGGGTCCCCAGATGTATTTGGCCTACAACTCCCAGAAATCCCAGCCAGTTTACCAGCTGTTAGGATTTCTGGGAGTTGAAGGCCAAAAACATCTGGGGACCCCAGGTTCAGAACCACTGCTCTAGAGGCATTCTCTCCTGACGTTTCACCTGCATCTATGGCAAGCATCCTCAGAGATATCCTCACTACCTCAAAGGATGCTTGCCATAGATGCAGGCGAAACGTCAGGAGAGAATGCCTCTAGAACATGGCCATATAGTCCAAAAAACCTACAACAACCCAGTGATTCGGGCCATGAAAGCCTTCGACAATACATTATTATTTTTTAGATTTTTTGCCATAATCTCACAACCAGCATAGATATGGGAGTTGTAGTCCAAAGAAACAACATTTTACAGTTTTACTGTGTACATAAATATTAAATGAAAGTGAAATAATGGAATGTATCAGAAAGAAGCCGTGAGAAGTACAGATCCATGTTGGAGTCTAGCAAAACTTCAATTCCCAGTCCATTGGTGAGATCTAAGGTTGTTTCCTAGGCCTTCAAAAGAGCAGGGAATTTGGTGTTCAGGCGGTACATTTTGATAACATTATTCTCTGGGGCCCCCTTCCCTTTCCTCTCTCCTTCTAAAGAATACCATAAAGACACTTCACTCAGCAGCCCCATCAAGTGTCCTGATAGAGAAATCATCTGTCCGTCACTCTTGGGATCCATCCAAACTACTGATGATCCTCGGCAATTTGGCTTAATTCCAGATGAAGAAGGTAAGGACAGAAAATGTACTGTAGTCTCTTATCCAAAAGGAACAGATCACACGTATAACTTAAATGTCAGACAAAATAAGTAGGTTGGCCAATCAAATTGTTTTGCTTAGACAATACTACTTGTGTTAGTACAGAACAACTACAAGGATATGCATGTGTGTGTGTGTGTATGTTTTTTTGGCACGTGCCCAATGCAAGTGTATTTTTATCTTCATGTTAGCAATTCTTTAAAGAAGAAGGCAGCTCATTTATAATCTGGTCAGGTCTTTCTTCTGAGTTTCAGCCGGCCAATATGAGTCACTCAAGCTTCGGAGAGGCACTTTGATGCAATCCCCCGAATCTGACTGACATGTTTTTGGTTTATCAAGAAGAAGGGAACATATTGTTGAATGGCTTTTTGCCCCATCACCTTCTTCACAAACACACGCGTATACACCCACAATGGGCAGAGCATTTATGTGCCTTTGCTGACAATGCCAGGCACCAACATTGTCCTGCAGGATTAAACTGAATGGCAGAACCTATGCCAATAATTACAGATTCCCTCCCTGGATACATGATCAGTACTAATCATGGCATTGCATGCTGAGAATCATCTCCAACTGGTCAATGTGCAGAAATAGCTACATGATGTAGAATCACTGTAAAGTTTCCTGTAGAGTCATTTTACCTACCACACAGGCAGAACACCAGCTGGTAGATATGAAGGCATCAAAATATGAGTATGCTTACCTGTGCAGATGCAAACACAACAAAGAGACAAAATTTTAGCACCTGTCAGGGGTGCTTTGAATGTGATTTTCCTGATTCTTGGCAGGGGGTTGAACTAGATGGCCCACGAGGTCTCTTCCAACTCAATGATTCTATGGTTATATCTGATTGTGCAGGTACAACTGTACCAGGAGCTCCAAGTTTGTTTGCTTTGCATTGAATGTTTGTTGTAGTCCTAAGTTTCAGGGACTCTGCAGATAGGTGGCTTCTTTTTGGCTGCAATCATAGGGCAAGCCACCTGTCAATTATAGTTAGGTTCCCTGGTCCCGCCTCCTTTTTTAGTTTTAGAGGGAATAGGAGCCATTTTGAGTTCAGTCCACACAGAGAAGCCTTTCGCACAGGACATAATACCAAGAGCTCCTGTAGAAAGCTTCGTCTTCTACGGCTTGGCCCTATAGCTTGGCTGGGGAGAAAGGTCCCGTAGCTTGGCCGAGGATTATACAGCCTTACAGCTCCTTTGCTGAGGGACTTCAGCCGGCCATCCCTGAAACCTGAACTCTTTTTCCCTTGGAAGTCTACAAAGCTCTGCTTGGTAAGGGTCACTCGCAGAAGCCAGATGCAGTTGGTACTGGGTGTAGGGGCTCCACGCCAACAGAGGCAAAGACAGACTGCCAGGATTAGAGGTTAAGGATTTCCCCATTAATTAAATTACAGTTTATGAAGATAGTGCCTGTTCCCAGTGAACAAGATTGAGAGAGCCAATAGACTATTAAGAAAGCCTTGAAGTACCTGTTTGTTTTCATTAATAAAGAACTTTGTTGAACTTTTAAGCAATCTAGAGACTCTGTTTTAAGAAAATCCACAGGCCTTTAATCTGAGGCAGCCCCGGCGTCCCGTTGGGCACACAAAATTTATGTCCTGTCTACAGTTTTATGCACAGGCCCAGCGTGCGACAGCACACTGATGCTCCAGGCTTCTGGAACTCAAGTGATGAAGTCTTCTTGTGGTACAAGCAGCAGAGCCATCAATAACTGCCCTCTTAATTGAGAAACCAATAAGCCACACAGAGAATAATAATAATAATAATAATAATAATAATAATAATAATAATACATTTATTTCTTACCCACCTCTCCTTATGACTCAAGGCAGGTCGCAGCACAGTCAAAGCACGCAAACATTGCAAACATTCTATAAAGCTGGACATTCCCATCAGTGCTCCCAGATCTTGGGAGAGTTATTTTCAAAATGTAGTTCTCCAAACTGTCTCATGGGACTCTTGAACTTGTAGTCCAAAAAGCAAGTTTTCCAAACTCTGTTGCTTCCAGCCAGATCCACAATGGTGTTAGACTGGAGGCATCCAATAAGGCATGTTTGGATTACTTGCATATTATTATTATTGACACAAAAGCACAGTATGTCACAGCAAACAAGATCTATATGCTGGATTTCATATCACAAAATCACAAGTCGAACACTTCCCAAGCGTCAAGGACTGTGTGATGTATTTTCAAATGATGCGTGCAGATCCAAGTAAGGTGGCCTTTTGCAGTTGACCTATCATGATTTTGTAGATGTGTATTGTTTCTAAATGCTGGCTGAGATCTTTTGGCACGGCACCCAGTGTGCCAATGACCACTGGGACTACCTGTACAGGTTTATGCCAGAACCTTTGCATATTATTATTATTATTATTATTATTATTATTATTATTTGAAATACAAAAAGATTAGTACACAGCAAACAAGAACATTATTATTATTATTATTATTATTATTATTATTATTATTATTATTTGAACCATAACAAGATTAGTACACAGCACTGTTGTATTGGATCACACATCGAACACTTGCCAAGTGACTAGAACTGTGTGAAGTATCAGCAAATAATGCATGCAGATCCCGGTAGGGTGGCCTTTTGCAGCTGACAGATTGTAATTTTGTCAGCGCCGATTGTGTTTAAGTGCAGGCCAAGGTCTTTAGGTACTGCACCCAGTGTGCGATCACCATTGGGGCCACTTTTATTGTTGTTGTTATTATTATTATTATTATTATTATTATTATTATTATTATTATTTTATTTTACCCACTACTCCTCGTGGCTCAAGGAGGTTTACAGAACTAGGGTTGCCAGTTACAGATAAGAACTAGGGTTGCCAGTCATAATAAGGCACAAGCCTCCTGTAGCATTAAGAGTTGTGTAGAAGAGGGAATTTCAATTGGCCTTATTTGTTGTGCAATGACACCACCCCATTATGCAGCTATTACACCAGCCAACACACATTTTGGTGCCTCAAATGTTAGACCTGTTTCTGGGTTTATGTTACCTGCTGATTCCAAAAATGGTGCCAGTTTTCCCCTATCAGTTTTAGTTGCAGTACGCATGCCATCTACCAGTTGCCGTATGTCATGATAACGATGTCTAAGAAAGTAGAGCTGATGCAGTCCATCCAATTCAGTTTTCTGAATCAGAGCCAGGAACAGGTCTGTAATCCAAGACACCAAGAATCTTTTCCCCCCGACTATATTAAAGGCACAGGAGCCCTATACCCTATATTATCTGATGGTCCTATTTAGGGACAGTCACACAGGCAACACAGACATGTATTAATATCTGGGCAAAACTATGCACTCAGTTAAATACATAGTATTTGTCTAAGCTTCATTTTCTTACTTTATTGAAGTAAAAATATGCAGCCTCATTTACATTGGAGTCACCGTACATAGATTATGGAGGCCTGAAATCTTTCTTTTCTAAGCATTTCACTCCCTGAATTAGCCCACTCTTTGTATGTGTTCATATTCTTTCAAGTTCCCAGTTGACTTTATGGTGATTTAATGAATGTTCTTAGGCAAAGAGATAGTTGTGCTAGTTTCTTGCTCTGAAATATAGCCTGGGTATTCATTGGTGGTTTCTCATCCAAGTACTAGCCAACTAGTACTTCTTCAATTCCAAAATCAGGGGATCTCATCCAAAGTGTAGCCTTTCAGATGTTGTTGGACCACAGTTCTCATCAACTCTGGTGAGCATGACCAATGAAAAGGAAGTTTGGTAGTTGCAGAACAACACTCAGGGCCCTTCCACACAGCCCTATATCCCAGAATATCAAGGCAGAAAATCCCACAATATCTGCTTTGAATTGGGTTATCGGAGTCCACACTGCCATATTTTCCAGTTTAACGGAGATAATGTGGGATTTTATTCAGCTGTGTGGAAGGCGCCTCAGAGACCTACAGCTGCCCATCTTGGTTGGGCAAATGTTGGAGTTAGGAAGCCTTGTTGGCTCCCAGAACACCTTAGAGCAGTGGTTCTCAACCTTTGGGTCCACAGGTGTTTTGGGCTACAACTCCAAGAAATCCCACCCAGTTTACCAGCTGTTAGGATTTCTGGGAGTTGAAGGCCAAAATATCTGGGGACCCACAGGTTGAGAACCACTGCCTAAGAGGGCTAGAAACCACACATACAAACAAATATTATTTTTGCCCCAGGAATCTTTGGGGTAAGGACAAGTTTCCATCCAGTTCCTTCTGATCTGCTGTCAAAACAACATTGTTCCTCTTCACTATTTGTATTGTAGATCCCTGATAGTAGCATACCTTTTAAGATAAGAAACTGGTTTCCCGACTCCCCCTTTTTAGCCCTCGCACAGCAGGAATATAGGGCCTACATACTCCAAAGGTACCAGATCCCGTTTGATCTTAGAAGGTAAGCAGCTCAGCCATAGTTAGTAGTCGGACGAGAGACCACCAAGGAATACTAGATGCTGTAGGCTGTATTCAGAGAAAAGAAATGCCAAACCACTTGCAAGTATTCCTGGGCTAAGAAAACCCTATGACGTTCATGATATTACATGCACTTTAAAGATACGCATACAAACATTTTGCACACTTCTGGTCCAGAGGAAAGGTGTTAAGAATAGTGAAGAGAAAAGGAAGCTTTTTCTTTGAAAAAAACTTCATTTGGGTCTGATTTGAGTGGGATCATGGAACAGTGTTTTTAAAATGCAGTTTCCCTTCTCCAAATCTTTAGCTTGATTTGTTAAGATCCTGCTCAGGGAATACTTAGCCATAGTCATTAGAGAATGGAGAGGCCTGGGGCTTTGATCATTGCCCATAATGCTGCAGCCCTGAATCCGTTATGTTTCCTGGCTCAAGCAGTGAGATTGCACAGCTTGAGCAATTAAATTCTCAATTCTTTGGCTATGTTTGATGGATTATAGTAATGGCTTGGTTCATTAATGCTCGGGCTTGCCTTTGTACTGCTCTTCCTAGGAAAAAAGTGGCCAT